GCCATAGCACCACTTCTGGTTTTCTGGTGGTTTATTAGAGATAAGAGTCCCACAGACTTTGTTGCCTAGGCTGGCTTTGAACTGCGATCCTCAGCTCTCAGTCTCCTGAGTAGCTACATGACATGAGCCACCAGCACCCGGCTTTTGTTTTTGTTTTTTAGTCAAAGTTATTATATTGCTCAGGTTGGCCTTGGACTTTTGGGTTTGATCTATCTATACCTGTCTCCAAAGTAGCAGATACTAAGGCATGTGACACTGGGCCTAACTATGATATTTGCTCTATTTACAAGTGTTTTCATGCATGGCATGTGTTCATGGTATGTTCATGGTGGCACTTTCCTTAATCTCACCTATGAGGGAAGTATAGGTAGGATATAAAAGTAAGATATCCTATCTAAAATAATAACTCAAGCCTAACTCAGGAGACTAAGTTCTGAGAATCTCAGTTTAAATCCAACCCAGGCAGACAAATTTGAGAGATACTTATCTCCGGTTAACCAGCGAAAAGCCGAAAGGGGAGGTATGGTTCAAGTAGTAGGACACCAGCCTTAGGTAAAAAGCAAAGTGGGAGTTTGGGGCTCTGAGTTCAAGCCCCAGTAGCAGAAAAAAAAATAATAGGATGACAGCGTAAAAATGATAACATCAACATGTCCTATGATAGAAACAGGGTGGTTTTTTTTTCTTTTGTACTATACTTCATGCTTGTCTAGATTGTGTGTGTGTGTGTGTGTGTGTGTGAATCCTGGGACTTAAATTCAGGGCCTGGGCACTGTCCCTGAGCTCAAGGCTGGCTCTCTACCACTTGAGCCATAGTCCTACTTCTGACTTTTTGGTAGTGTTTCCAACCTGGGCTGGCTTTAAACTACAATTCTTGCATTTTAGCCTTCTGAGATATTAAGACAACAGGTGTTAAGTCACTGGTTGCTTTTTTAAAAAGAAAGAAAATTTTAATTTAGTTATATCCTTTTCACATTAAAATATCAATTAAAATTGGAAAGAAAGGCCCAGATTATCTAAAGCACACGCATACGTCGAGAAGTTTGGGGACAGTTAGCTGTATGATAGATTTTCACAGCAGTGACAACGAGCTACAAAATAAAACAAACTCTTCAGAGCCCACCTTCTCTTTCTCATGCTTACAAGTAGACATCAAAGCCTCCCCGAGAAATAGTCCTGCTAAAATGCAAAATATCATTAGAAGATAGTTTCCTAGACTTGTCATCAGGATGTTTGATTTGCTTCCTAGGACAAATGAAAAATCTGATTAATATTTTGCTGGTGAGTAAAAAATCAGAAGGATTGAAAAAATATGGCACAGAGAAATTAATTTTTAATAAGATAAGAGAGCCAAGCCAAAGAAAAAAAAAAAAGAAAGAAAAAAAAGAAAGAAAGGCCCAGAGACTAGAATTTCTGCTTATTTTCTTCCAGTCTTTGTGTGTGTGTGCATGAGTGCTAGTCCTGGGGCTTGAACTCAGGCCTGGGTGCTATTCCTAAGCCTTTTTTCCCCTCAAGGCTCTGCCACTTAAGCTACAGCTCCAATTCTGTCTTTTTAGTGTTTAATTGGGAGTTAAGAGTCTTGTGGACTTTTCCTATCTGGGCTGGCTTTAAACCTCAATATTTAGATCTCACCTGTCTGAGTAGCTGGGATTATAGGCATGAGCCACCAATGCTTAGCCTTTCTTTTTTTTCTTTTTGGTTGGTCGTAGAGCTTGAACTGTGGGTCTGGGTTCTGTCCCTCACCTCTTGAGCTCAAGACCAGTGCTCTACCACTTGAGCCACAGCGCCACTTCCAGTTTTCTGGTGGTTTATTGGCAATAAGAGTCTCATAGACGGGCTGGGAAGTTGGCTCAGTGGTAGAGTGCTTGCCTTGCATGCCTGAGGCCCTGGGTTCGATTCCTCAACACCACATAAGCAAAAAGAAAAAAGCTGGAAGTGGTGCTGTGGCTCAAGTGGTAGAGGGCTAGCCTTGAGCTGAAGAGCTGAGGGACAGCGCCCAAGCCCAGAGTTCAGGCCCCACGACCGGACCCAAAAAAAAAAAAGAGTCTCATAGACTTCCCTGCCTGGGCTAGCTCTGAACCTCGATCCTCAGATCTCAGCCTCCTGAGTAGCTAGGATTACAGGCATGAGCCACCAGTGCCTGGCATCTTTTTGCTTATGTGGTGCTGAGGAATCGAACCCAGGGCCTCATGCATGCAAGGCAAGCACTCTACCACTGAGCCATTTTCCCAGCCCCCCAGCCTTTCTTTTGAAGATGGGTCTATGTTGCCTGGTTGTCCTGGAACTCCTGGGCTCAAGCAGTTCTATCTCAGCTTCAAGGGACTACAGATAGCATGCCCAGCTTGGTCTTTTTTTCAAATAATTAAGATCAGACAGTTTTACAGCCAACTCCCCTCCCCACCTCTCCCCGCCCACAAATGTCATTGTTAGAATTGTTTAATCTGTACTATATTTTACTCACCATGTTTTTCTAGTTTGGAAGCCTTATTCAAACCTATTAATTAAAAACCTCCTATGTGCAAGCCTAAGCAACACCCTCTCCCCCATCTTCCACCCCCAATCTGTAATGAGTCCTGGTGAAATAAGTTCTTAAAAAACAGGCCTAGGTACTTGCTGGATAGGACAATTTAGGAGGGTCACAACAGCAATACTAAGAAGTGACACTAAGAAGTGTGGCTGTGGATACCTTGGGTAGCCAAGGGTGGGCACTTTGTCTTTCTCCCTTTCTTGCAGTGACAGATCAATCCTTCCCTTGTACTATGCCATCCTTCTGCCAAGTAAATGGTACTTTCACACCACCAAATACAGATTGAGAAAGTAGGTCCACAGGAAGGGAGGCTGCTGCTCTCAACTTCCTGTGTCCCCTGAGAGAAGAGGTTGGTGGTGGCCAATATGAGTGGGCCTAGCCAGCAGTAGGATACCTGAAATGCAGGCAAGCAAGCAACATACTCTGGAGCATATGCTGTGAGGATAGGGTTCAGAAAGAGGCGTGTCCAAGAATGTCAGCCCTCTCCTAGTCCTGCCAGATCCTGGGAGAGACCCTCTATCTCACCCTCCTGTCCTGGGTCCATAGTCCTTTGAGAAGAGCCTGCTCTGCTACTAGCCACATTTGTGTGGCTCACATTTGTTACTTGCTTTCCCTGCCTCTTTTCCCATTATTCCTTAGGTTAGGCTGGCTAAGGAATTCCCTGGGAAACAATTGTTTTACTGGATTTATTGAAAAGTGTTATTAAGTGTATGTTTAGGCTGGGCGCTGGTGGCTCACACCTGTAATCCTAGCTACTCAGGAGGCTGAGGTCTGAGGATCAAGGTTCAAAGCCAGCCTGGGCAGGAAAGTCCATGGGACTCTTAGCTCTAATAAACCACCAGAAAACTGGAAGTGGTGCTGTGGCTCAAGTGGTAGAGCGCTAGTACCACTTAAACCAATATAAACTTAAGCCTTTTTTTTTTTTTTTGGTTGGTCGTGGGGCTTGAACTCTGGGCCTGGGCACTGTCCCTCAGCTCTTCAGCGCAAAGTTAGTGCTCTACCACTTGAGCCACAGCGTCACTTCCCAGCCTTTTCTGTTTAATTGCATGCGAGGCAAGCACTGCCACTGAGCCACCTTCCCAGCCTCTGATGTATAGTTTTGAGTAAGAAACATAGTAAAGAATATGTAGTATAACATTTTCGAGTCAAAAATGGAACATACAAGGCTGGGAATGTGGCTTAGTGGTAGATTACTTGCCTAGCATACATGAAGCCCTGGGTTGGATTCCTCAGTATGATTTAAACAGCTGGAAGTGGTCCTGTGGCTCAAGTGGTAGAGTGCTAGCCTTGAGCAAAAGAAGCTCAGGGACAGTGCCAAGGCCCTGAGTTCAAGTCCCAGGACTGGCAAAAAAAAAAAAAGGAATACACAGTCAAAGATTTTGGCATTTTCCTAGGTGACCCAGAAGACAGGGTCATAAAATGTCATTTGACATAGTAGAACTCTGAGCACACTAAAAGTGTTTTGGATTAGATTACTTTTTTTTTTTTTTTTTTTTTGCTAGTCCTGGAGCTTGAACTCAGGATCTGGGCACTGTCCCTAAGCTTCTTTTGCTCAAGGCTAGCACTCTACTACTTGAGTCATAGCACCACTTCTGGCTTTTTCTGTTTATGTAGTACTGAGGAATTGAACCCAGGGATTCATGCATGCTAGGCAAGCACTCTACCACTAAGCCACATTCCCAGTGGCTTAGTGGTTACATTTTGTTTGTTTGTTTGTTTTGCCAGTCCTGGGGCTTGAACTCTGGATCTAGGTGCTGTTCCTGAGACTTATTATGCTCAAGGCTAGCACTCTACCTCTTGAGCCACTTCCAGCTTTTTCTGATTAGTTTTATTGGAGATAAGAGTTTTACAGGCTGGGCTGTCTGGGCTGGCTTCGAACTTGATCCTCAAGTCTCAGCCTCTTGAGTAGTTAGGATTTCAGGTGTGAGCCAACAGTGTCTGGCTAGGTTAAGTTTTTTAGACCCAGGATTCTGAGTCCTTCTTAGCTATGTGAGAGTATTTTAAACACCACACTTATTATTCATATAAACTGTCAGCAAATATTTGTCAAGAACAGTTATTTCCTAATATCCAGGAAGTATCCATGTGGGCCACTTAAGACTAAGACTATCTGGGTGCTGGTGGCCCACGCTTGTAGTCCTAACTACTCAAGCTCAGGAATCTGAGATTTGAGGATTGTGGTTTAAAGCCAGCCTGGACAGGAAAATCTATGATAGTCTTATCTTCAATTAGCCACTAAGAAGCCAGAAGTGAAGCTGTGGCCCAAGTGGTAGAATACTAGCCTTGAGCACAAAAGGTCAAGGACAGTGCCTAGGCCCAGGGCCTAGCAAAAAAAAAAGGCCAAGACTAATCACCTAAGTCCAAAGCACTAAGACTATTGCCTAAGAATGGGAATAATCAGGCAGAACCCAATGTAGTGGCCCTACCTAGGCTTGGGGTCCCTGCTGACTTCTGCTCACTGCTCTTGCATCCATAGCTTACACAGACTTTTTCTTGCCGTTGCTGAGTCGCTGTCCTTCCGCCATGGGGATAAAGAATAAGGATGGGGAGACCCCTGGGCAGATTCTGGGCTGGGGACCCCCCTGGGATTCTGCTGAAGAGGAGGAAGACGATGAAGCTTCCAAGGAGCAGGAATGGAGGCAGAAGTTGCAGGGCGAGCTGGAGGACGAGTGGCAGGAGGTCATTGGGAGATTTGAAGGTGAGATTTGAAACTGTGCTACCCACAGTTGCCTTTTCTTGCGCCCACATGGGGCTTTCTCTGTGCCCTTTCTCTCTACTTCCCTAGCTCTCATGGTATATCCCCTTCTCACAGCCTCTCTCCAGTGATCCCATCCCACTTCCCAAACAGATGACGCTTCTGGAGAGACCCAGGAACCTGAGTCCTTCTCAGCATGGTCAGATCGCCTGGCCCGAGAGCATGCCCAGAAGCGCCAGCAGCAGCAGCAGCGGGAAGCAGAAAGATCTTGCCGAACACTGCGGGCTGAGAGCTCCAGTCACAGCTGGCGACAGCAAGAGGAGGAGCAGCGGCTTTTCAGAGAGCGAGCCAGAGCGAAGGAGGAAGAACTTCGGGAGAGCCGAGCCAGAAGAGTCCACGAGGCTCGAGGGGACCAAGGGCCAGAGCCAGCCAGAGCCGGGCCAAGGGCAGAGCACCCCAGAGGGGCAGGGAGAGGCAGTCTCTGGCGCTTTGGTGATGTACCCTGGCCCTGCCCTGGGGGAGGAGACCCAGAGGCCATGGCCGCAGCCCTGGTCGCCAGGGGCCCACCCTTGGAGGAGCAGGGGGCTCTGAGGAGGTACTTGAGGGTTCAGCAGGTCCGTTGGCACCCTGATCGTTTCTTGCAGCGATTCCGAAGCCAGATTGAGACCTGGGAGTTGGGCCGGGTGATGGGAGCTGTGACAGCCCTTTCTCAGGCCCTAAATCGCCATGCCGAGGCTCTCAAGTGACCGCAGGGAAAGAACAAGAAACTGTGGGGATGTAGCCTTAGGGACAATCAGGAAGAGGGAGGGCAAGGTCAGGGATGGGGCTGGACAAGGAAAAGGCAGATGCTGCCCAAAGGGACATGGGGTGGGAACGAAACTTTTAACAAGAGGGATGGGGCCCATGGGCCTCTACCGCTACTCTTGACTCTGCCATTTCCTAATAAGACCTGGTTCCACATCCGTGCACTCCCAGAGTCTCCTCTGCCTTTTTCCATTGCTATGGTTTTTATCACCCATGACATCTCCTTTCCCGCCCGCCTGCTGAAACCCACAGCTCCTACACACCTGCAACACACACACACCATTGTGTGCCCTCAGATTCCCCACCACAATCCCCAGAAACCTCCTGCTTGCCCACCCTCAAGATCAGCCCTCAGAAGGAATGGTTTGCTCTCAGGCCTCCCTCCGCCCCATGTGCCGGGGTCCTGTGCACACTTGTCTACGTCTGGAGAAACAGATGTGAACAGAGGCAAAAAGGGAACAAAACCAGTTTCCTCCCCAACCAAGCTCCCCAAGCAGAACCACATCCTCCTCCCCACCGAACACCCTCCTCCTCCAACACAGGGCTTTCCCTTTGCTGAGTCACTGAATGAGCCAAGTTGGGGGCAGCGGGTTAGGGGACCCTGAGGAGCTGAGGGAAGATAGGTAATGGAAGTAGAACGGATGGAGGAAGAGCCCTGTGGAAGAGGGAAATTTGATTGCTAAAAATAGAAACAAAAGAAGGAGGCGGAAAGAGCCAAATTATGTAAGCTGGGTTGCCTGTTCTTGGGCAACCAGAGATCCACACCCAAGAGCAGGCAAGCTTCTGGGCCACCAGCTGGCTCTCCCTCCAGCATCCCAGCCCCATCTCTTCTGGGGCTCTAATACCTCTCTCATCTAGCTTCTGCCATATCTCTGAGCTTCATCTCTGAGGATCCCAGGCTAGTTCTTTTACATAAACATCTTTTTTAAGAGCTGGTAGTTGAGGTCCTGAAAGATGGAGGTAAATGACCTGGAGGCTCCCATGAAGGAAACAAGGGTATTCCAACATCTGCTCCCACTCCAATTCTTGGAAATAGGCAGGCCAAACCCCACTGCCATCACCCAGAACACAACTGGGAACTCAGCCAAAAAAAATCACCAGGAGCAAAAGGAGAGGGTAGAGTGCAAGCATGCGCATGTGTACATCTGAACCTTTCCAACCAGAAACATGATTGTCAAATCTTAAGTCCAGGCCTACACAGGAGGTCCCAGATGTAGAAGTGGAAGGTGGCAGAATATAAGAGGGGAAAGCTGCCGGGAACATGAGGTGAGAATAAGACCCTGGGAGAAGACAAGAGCCTGAAGTTAGGAAGAAGCCCAAGGCCTCAGACAGATGTTCAGGGGCAGAAGAGGGTATCACCGATGAGAAAGATCCTGTGAGAGGAAGCTGCTGTGATTCAGAGAAGAGACTTAGAACTCTGAGCAACCCAGGCGTCCGGTTCCTCTCACAGGCCGGAGATTTCGGAAGTGGCATGCAAAGAACCCAGGTTTGGAGCTGGGGTTAGGATCCCTTAGCTGGTGGAGGTTGAGAGGTAAGCAACAGAAAACACTTTTACACCTCTCAGATTTCTCCGTTGTCTCAAAAGCACATCATTTCCCTTCTGCAAGTATTACATAAAACCAAAGTAAGATAAGCCTTAATACCTGGGTCCCTAGAACTCCCTCTTCCATGTCCCTCCCTGGTGTCTGGCCCCCCAGCCCTCCTGGGGGTTCCCCTGAGATAAAGGCTGTTCACTTTCTCTGACCACATGGTTTCCGCTTCTGTGTCTCTTGTTTCCTAGGCTGATAAAAATACTTAGCCCTAGAGGCCCTGGCTTCCTCTGACAGGCAGAATAAGGGGTAGCAGGCATCCTGTTCACCACAGTGGGGGAGGAAGGGCACTCAGGGACCCCCAAGGGGTGACTCAGTACCTCCCAGAAGAGTCAGAAGTATATCTGTTCCCTCAGGCTGGAACCAGTAGTTGGGTCTCAGTAGATGATGCCTTGGGGTTCAATGTGAGAATCAGAGTTGGGAAAAGAAATGTGAGATTGAAGAGGGTCAGTTGGGATTGTGTTAGGAAAAGTGACCTAGGAGGGATTCCATTTGATGCAGGCAGGTCAACTGGGCATTAGTAGCCCAAAGATAAATTCAAACCTGGCTTCAGATTTATCCAGTAGGTGGACAGACCTATACTTAATTGACCGGAGACATGCCGAGTAAACTTTACACTAGGACATATTGGATGCAGATGGGGAGAGGGAGAGAGCATTTTAATGGTGGAATGGACAGAAAGGTTTGGTAGGTAAGTGTCTTGAGTAGAGACTGGGAAATGAGTGTGTGCATGGTATGTGCAGGAATCACCGAATATCCTGCAGTAGAGAAGCATGGTGCAGGGGAACACATATAAAGAATGACCACAGATGCCAATGTTGAGGACTCAGCCTTGTGGCAGTGACCTCAGGGACAGCTGTAAAGAGAGAATGCTGCAGAATTCTCCACACAAGGGATAAGAAAACCCACTGCATACCCACAATGCGTTAACCAGCCCTTTTCTTTCAGTAATCCTGTTGTTGGGGGTCTCAAAACACAATACCCCAAAGTATAGGGTGCATAGTTGTACTGAGTACTTTTAACTGAAGTTACTGGAAGAGTCTCAGAAGCAAGTTTCTCTTTGCCTTTCTCCTGCCCTCTTGTCTTCTACCTGTTTTAGTTTACCCAAAATGAGTTATCAAAGCTAGAACTCTTCTTCCTCAAGTTGGGTCGTCAAAGCTAGAGCCTTCACAAAGTCAACCATAATGCCTAGAAATATTACTCTCATTTTTATCTTACCTTCCTTCTCTGACAATACATCATAGATCCTCAGGCCAAGCAGAAGCTTAAACAGACAAGCCCAAATACTGAGTTTTTTCCCTCTCAGTCTCTGATCCTTTCTGGCCAATTGTGTTTCTACGTGGCTGTTCATTCTTTATCAGATCTAAGCCTGAAGTTGGACAGTTTTCTTTGGGTCTTAGGATCTTTATTTCTGAAGGCTCCAATTTCATCTAAAACTTGGATTAAATAAATCAGTTATGCTTTTGTCTTGTTACAGGAATATGGTCTAGGACCCTTTTCTGGCCCTTATACTGTCAATCTCTCCATAATGGGTGTGGATCCCATTACACAGATGAGAACGTGAAAATCTATAAAGATTCTGCAGCCTGTTTTAAACCATACAAGTAGAAAGTAGTGAAATGACCATTAAACTCTTCTGACTCTAAAACTCATGTATTTTCTGCTTGAGTCCTAGTAACTCCAATGACATTAAAGAAGGGAACAGCATGTACAAACTGAGGGAGTATCACGACTCACAAAGTGATTATTGGAGAGACCGGGAAAGGAAGAGACTTAGATGACCGTATGAGCCTAGGAGGTGGTCTCAGTCAAGAAGGAGCATGGCGAAGGGAAACGTAAGGCGTTTGAACAATGGTTTTTTTTGTTTTAATTAAGCACCTGTTAGCAGAGCACTGTTAACAACACTCTAATAGATATAAACAAGGAGGTCATTGTCATAGAACTTGCCATCTAGTGAAAAAATATATACCTGCAACAATTACCCATAATAATTTAAAGTGCACCTGCCCAGAATAATAAAGTGCTCAAAGAAAGCTTGCCGAATGTGAGATGCTACCATCTCACTCTGAAAATTGCTGGCAAGTAGGCTGCGAGCGCATGATTTGGGCTAGCAGGATAGATTTGAGCATCACTTCCTTCCCGGTAAAGGTTGAGTGAGTGGACAGGGTCCTCAGGAGAGAGGATGGAGTGACCAGAAGAGCCTCGACAAACCAACAATGGAAGGGGACTGAAGAGTATTCAGAAAAGTAGGGCAAAGGAGGGGTGTGCGAGCAGAGCCAGGGCAGCCTTATCAGGTCTCAAAAGAGGTCTGGTATGAGTTGAATCCAGGTGCTGGTGATTCATCCCTATAATCCTAGCTACTCAGGAGACTGAGATCTGAGGATTGTGGTTCAAAGCCAGCCCAGGCAGAAAAGTTCATGGGACTCTTATTTCCAATTAACCAAAAGTGTCACTGTGGCTCAAAGTGGTAGAACGCTAGCTTTGAGCAAAAAAAGGCTCAGGGATAGCGCCCAGGTCCTCAGTTCAAGCCCCACAACCAAAAACAAAACACAAGTGACATTTGGAAAGAGTTGGGGTTCAGCAAGTAGATGATTACAGATTTTGAGAGGACTGTTTCCATTTAATAGGGAAGAAAATACATAGATTGAAGAATGAGTAGGAGGTGAGGCAGGAGTCAGCAGGTACAAAGTCATAGAATGGTGAAGGAAGAAAGACATTAAGAATCATCACTTAGTTCTACCCACAAATTTGGCAGATGAGGAAAATTTTACCAGTTCCACCACCCAAAAAGTAGTCAACAGGTCTTAAACATCACAAAGAAAGCAAAAGTGAGAGACAGAAGGGACTTTTAAGGGAAGAGAAAGTCCAATTATTTCAAGAAATAAAACCATATATTTGTAAAATAGAGAAGGAGCATGAAGAGAGATACACTATATAAGAAAAGGTGGAGAATAGAGGGAAGAGACAGGAAGTGAGGTGTGTTGATTGAAGGATCAGCCTTGGAAAAGAACAAGAGTCCTGCTAGCCAAGAAGATGGGAAAGAGAAAGCATAAATAGAGGGAAAAGAAGAGAAAAGATCCACCTTGAATGGGCTTAAGTTCAATCAAATAAATGGTAGAAGGGGTGGCATTGATCAAGATGCATAGTACTCATAACCTGACAGCTAAGTGTAACCTCTTTGTACAACTACTTAATAATAAAAAGGGGTGGAAGTATAGCTCAATTGGTAAAACACTAGCCAATGAGCGAAAGCATCAGGTACCAAGTTCAAGTCCTGATCTCAGACCAAAAATAAAATAGGTAACAGCATGATCACTTGGAAGTGAAGAGGTCAAGTGAAGGGCATTAAAGGGACTTGTAAATCTAGAAGAACACCTGCAGAAGAACAATGGAGTCTATAATGATGAGAAGTTCTGTGAAGGCACATTGAAGCCTCTCTCGAGTTAGATGGCAACTGTCCACTAGTAACAGGCCCCTTATGATGTTTTGATTCTCCTGTAATGCTTGACAGCCAAGGAGACAGTCCCAAGAATGAGACTGTAGGGTTTACTCACATCTAGCTTTCCTGGTAGAACATCAGGTAGGCAAGAGATTCTAAACACTAGTAAGAGTCTAGCCAAATAGTTAACCCTGTAGTATATGTTGAACAAAACTTGATAAGAAAGAAGAGAAACAGGAGGTGTGAGTGGGAATGAGGAACTGATTTGAGTAGGGAGAGGAGTGGAGGAGATAAGTGAGTGATGGGCTGGGAAGGTGGCTCAGTGGTAGAGCGCTTGCCTTGCATGCATGAGGCCCTGGGTTCGATTCCTCAGCACCACATAAGCAGAAAAAGCCACAAGTGGTGCTGTGGCTCAAGTGGTAGAGTGCTGCCTTGAGCTGAAGAGCTGAGACAGCATCCAGGCCCAGAGCAGGTCCCACTACCAACAACAAAAAAAGAAAAAGAAAAAAAGAAAAGGAAAGAAAAGTGAGTGAGAAGAGGAAATTCAGAGTTCAAGCTCTTGAAGGTCAGCCCTTCTAAATGATACTGAGATAAGAGGTCCAACCACCTCCTATCTCAATGGAACAGAGAAGTGGAGCAGAGAAAGAGGCTGTAATGTTAAGAGTTGAGGGAAAAGAACTGAGAGCCCATAGGGTAGGATGCATTAGATCTGTGTGGTCTTGAAGTCCCTAAGGATGGTGATAGGGGACAAGAGATGAAGAAAAACTGGGCTAGATGTACAAGTGATTAAGCTCACAATGCAGATGTTGATGGAGGACGTTTGTGCTATGAAGACAGGAAGAATGTGGCAAATGCAAAGGTTTATTCAAGAAGGGACAAGGAAAATGGCAACCTATGGGAAAGAATAAAACAAAGCACACCATATATCTAATTACCTCTGTCTCTTCAATTACCTCTGTCTCTTCTCTACCTTCCTCTCTTCCCCCTTACACACACACACACACACACACACATGAATGCATGCATGAACACACCCACCCTTGAAAAACTTCTGATGGTTGAATACAATCAAGATGCTTTATCCTCCTCCATGGCCCCGCTTGTTTTGGTTCCTATCCCCCTCTCTGACCTTGTCCCTTCATCTTTTTTTTTTTGGGTCCGGTCATGGGGTTTGAACTCTAGGCCTGGGCACTGTCCCTCAGCTCTTCAGCTCAAGGCTAGTGCTCTACCACTTGAACCACAGCGCCACTTCCGGCTTTTTTCTTTTTGTTTATGTGGTGCTGAGGAATCGAACCCAGAGCCTCATGCATGCAAGGCAAGCGCTCTACCACTGAGCCACCTTCCCAGCCCTCGCTTCATCTTTTTATCTGTTGCAGCCACACTAACTTTTCTATTCTTGAACATCCCAGCTTTCCCTTTTCCTCCACCTTTGCTATAGCTTTTCCCTTTTCCTAGGACCCTTTGCTCTCAAACTTTTACCTGGTCTTTCAGTTGGTTCTCAGCTTCAACACCACTCACGCTCTCAGAGAGGACTCTGCTGATTAGCATATCTAAAAGTAATGTACCTCCTTACTAGCCTCCACATCATCCTATTTTCTCACAACAATACTTACTGATTTCTTCTTTAGTTTATGTTTATATTTTGACAGTGCCAGGATAAAATTCAAGGCCTCACACATCCTAGGCAAGTGCTCTACCTCTGAGCTAGATCCCTCCTCCCTTTCTCCCTTCCTTCCTCCCTCCCTCTCTCCCCTTCCTTTCTCCTTCCCTCCTCCTCCCTCCCTTCCTCCCATCCTTCCCCCTCCCCTCTCTTGCCAATACTGATGTTTGAATTCACTACCATTCAGTCTTGCTTAGCATGTTTTCTTTTTTTTGGGGGGGGTGGGAAGTCCAGTCATGGGGCCTGAACTCTGGGCCTGGGCGCTGTCCCTCAGCTTTTCAGCTCAAGGCTTAGCCTTCTACCACTTGAGCTACAGTGCCACTTCCGGCTTTTTTCTTTTTGCTTATGTGGTGCTGAGGAATCGAACCCAGGGCCTCATGCATTCAAGGCAAGTTCTCTACCACTGAGCCATCTTCCCAGCCCTTAGCATTTTTTCTCAAGGCAGTCCCTCTGCCACTTGAGCCACACCTTTACTTCTAGCACTTTGCTGGTTCATTGGAAATAAGTCTCTCAGATTTACCTGCCTAGGCAGGCTTTGAACTCTAAATCTCAAATCTTAGCCCCCTGAGTAGCTAGAATTATAGGCATGAGCCACTGGTGCCCAGATCTTCAGTTTGTTTTTATTTGTCTGGTCTCACTGGAACGTAGCCTCTAAAAATGCAAGTTCCAGCTGGGTACCAGTGGCTCATGCCTGTAATCCTAACTACTCAGGAGGCTGAGATCTGAGGATCATGGTTCAAAGCCAGCCCAGGCAGGAAACTCCATGAGACTCATCTCCAATAAACCACTAGAAAACTGGAAGTAGTGCTGTGGCTCAAGCAGTCGAGCTCTTGCCTTGAGCTGAAGAGAGTAGGGACAGCGCCCAGCCCCAGAGTCCAAGCCCCACAACCAACAAAAAAAAAAAAAAAGCTAGTTCCTTTGTCTTCCTTAAGTGTGCCACTCTATGTCTCCTGTCTAGAAGAACATCCCTACTGCTTAGGAAAATGCCCTACACATTGTAAGCACTCAATATATACTTAGAAAATGGAAGTATGGATGAATAATGAGGTAAAGCAGGACAAAGTTCAACTATATATTTGTGGTTCAGATAGGATCTTGCACTTAGAATCAGATATAACTTTAGGGACAGAAATGAGAATAACTAGTTTTCAGGAGTAACCCTAGAAACAGATTTGGATCTGATTGAGAGGCTGAATTTTATTTGGGGGGTTTATTGATTGGGATGTATTTAGATTTGAGGTCAGGGTTACCATTGGGGTTGGTTTGAGTTGTGATTTGGGTTGAGGTTAAATTTGAATTAAGTATAAGCTTTGTGTCATTTCAGCCTTGTTAGGAGGCCTCAGAGATTTCACTGGTCTGTCCACAG